TGTCATTTTTAAATGGAAATTAATATTTACACATCCAAGTGATGACAAGGGTGGAGACACACAGGCTTATATAGTGCTGGGAGGAACAGATTAATGTAATTGCTTTGAAAAACTCTTTGGAATTATCTAATAATAAAGGTGAACATATGCACACCCCAAATTTAGCAAATCTATTCCTTTGCAGATTACAACAGAAATGCACACCTAAGTGCATCCAAGAATGTGTATGAGAATGTTTATATCATCATTATTCATAGTTTTTTAAAAGTGGATATTCATACTAGAACTTTTGTGTCCTAATGGGTCTATTAGAAAGAAGTTGGAAGTTACAACTAAAAAATATGTCTTTTGTTTCTTATAACAAAAATAACAGGTATTTATTTTAGGAAAGTTTGTTCAATTCAATAAACAATAATAGGAATTTAAAAGTCAACTATGATCCTTCTGTATCAGTTAGAAACTACTTACCACAAATTTTAGAAAACCTAGCCAACAGTGTACAATGGCTAAACACATAAGAATTTCTTTGTATCACGTAAGAAGTATGTATTTTATGTAGTTCAGCAGCTTAACATGTCATTTGAAAAACCTAGGCTGTTTCTATCCTTCTGCTCCATATTGGTATATTAACATTTTATCTCCGTGTTTGTTGACTCATGGTTTCAAAATGGCTGCCGCCAGTCCAGGGAGCATATCCTTACAAGCTACATTCCCAATTGCAAAAGAGGAAAAGATAATGCTGGCACCTCTTGTTTATTTTTCATGTGGAAGCAGAGCTTCCAGCAGATATCAATGCCCTGGTGGGTCACGTGACTATTCCTAGTCATAAGGTAGCCTGGGCACTTGAGAAAGTTTTCCTCTCTTTATACTAAGGGATGCAAAGGAAGTTCAGAATTACTTCAGTTTAGCCAAGAATAAGTCTACCAAATCAGCCACTGAAATTTTACCCTTTCTTATATTTTGTTATATTTGGTTCCACTCTTTCTTAGACATTATCATCTTTTAAATATTTACAAAAATGATCTCATTCCTTTACCAACTAGTCACTAGCCTTTTTTTTCACATAAAATAGTATGCCAGTGAATACAAATGACATAATTTTAATTCCTGTATGGCATTTCGTTATTTGGATGTGCCATAATTTAAACATACCTCTATTACCAAATGTTTAAATTGCTTCTTAATCTTATATTCTAAATAATACTGTATTAAAGATGCTTGTATATGCAACTTTATTTTCTTAGAATATGTTTTCTGAAGTGGCTTGCAAGGCAAAGCATGTATACAATCAAAAATGGCATAAGCATTACCTAACATTGCCACTATGGAAGAGAGGGACCCAGAAATTCACTCCTAGGTGTATGCCTCATGTTGATGTTTTTCAAACACCGATCTTGATTCACAAGGACAGTGATATCACATATGGCTCACAAACCAGTGTTTTAAAAAACCTACATAAAACAGAATAGAACAAAAATATTAGCAGGCACTGCGTATAGTTTGATGCAACATCTGTTTCTTCTGTGAGTGTGTGTGTTCTGTGTCAAGAAGCAAAATGAGTATTTTGCCACGGGTGACAAAAAGTTTTTTTAAAACGTTCCGTAGAGGAATGTTCGTGCTTGCCTTCTGATTCCAGCGCTCATATTTTATTTCTGCTTCTTGTTAATTGCCTTGATAAGAAGTTCTGTAACAGTAACAAATTACAGCGGTGACGGCAATGTTCCTATTTGCTTCTGCCCTAAATGAAAATGTGTCCCATGAAGTTTTGAAATGTAGAATTTTCACCATTGTTCATACCTAGCCTGTCAGTGAAGTTTTCATTTCCTCTTTACATCAAGTTTCATAGAGGTTTTCTTTTTTATTCATAATGAGTTGGATTTATTTTTAGTTAACTGTTATGATTAATTTCTAGTTTTATTACCTGTGGTCAGAGATAATATGCATTGTGCTATAAAGTTTCTACTTTTGGGAAGTTATTGAGATTTTCTCTGTGGATGAGAATATAGTCAGTTTTTCCAAGTGTTGTATTTTTATAAAAATTCCATTCTTATAAGAATTCTATAATAATAAGATTCTATAGTAACATTCTACAATAATAAGATACATTTTCAATATCTATTGACTACAACTTGGGCTTCCCAAGTAGCTCAGATGGTAAAGAATTCACCTGCGATGCAGGAGACACTGGTTCGATCCTTGGGTTGGGAAGATCCCCTGGAGGAGGGCACGGAAACCCACTCCAGTATTCTTGCTTGGAGAATCCCATGGACAGAGGAGCCTAGCAGGCTACAGTCCATGGGGTCACAAAGAGTTGGACGTGACTGAAGTGACTGAGCTTGCGCACACATTGAATACAACTTATTGATACTAACATTCAAAGCCTCTGTATCTTTATGTAGCTATCTTATATATTTTTTTATTCTTTATATCTTGAGCTGTCATTAAAGTCTCCCACCAAGACTGTAATTTTGCACTTTATATTTCCAAGCCTTCTGTGTATTGTGTTGTGTATATTATGGTACATAAATGCTAATTCACATTCTAAATGCTTAATGTGGATTTGTAGCTGTTTCAGGCTTATGATATCATAATAAACTTTAATACTATTGATAGACCTGATTTTTTGGTTTACTTTTGGTGGGTTTCTTTGGTCTACTCTTTTATATCTAACATTTCTGTGTCCTTTTACTTAAACTATAAATTTAAAAAATAGTTTATGGTTACTTTATGTTGATATTCTTGCAAGAATAGAGTGTAACCCATTCACATTTATTTTGAAACAAGTATATTTGATTTTCTCTTTGATTATGCTTTCAGTATTAGTGCTTCTTGGATATTTCCTTTTTAAAAAAACTTTTTACATACTTTGATTTTTATGCATCTTTTTTTTCCTTTAGTGATTTGGAAGTTATGCATACAGCTTTTTTCTGTATATTCCAATCTTTTAAAATCAGTGTCTAGAATAAACGCTATATATTAATGATTCCTTCCTGCTAACAAAAATAAAAATGCTTTTCCTTTCATTTTTGTTGAAATAACTTGGAACTTTGGATCCAAGTTATTATATTAAACATTTTTTAAATATGCATCTTATTTTTTCAAAAAAATATTTTCACATGACTACGTTAATACTTATTATTAACACTTAACTATTTTTTAAGATTTCATCTTTTGCTGCTGCTTTGTTTCAAAACCCTATCTTGTTCATTCTTAGATTCTTTTATTTTGACTTATTTCTCAATAAGCTTGAGTAAATCTAAATAGTATGGGAATATCTCTGTCCTTAGTTTCCATAATTTCTGTCCATGCATGTCTGAATTCATCAGGTACTATTGGAGTCGAGTAACCCTAGATTCTAGTGCTAGCTCCTCCTCACATTTGCCCTGTGGCAGTGGGAAAATCTCACCACTTTTCGGACTCAGTTCGTCCTGATAAACTGGAGGCATGATCAAGTATTATATAGGATTCATAAGGATTGTACCAAGTTTACATGGGACTCATTTTCTCTGGGCTACAAGAAAGCTCACCGTCTGGCCTCCAGACTCCTCCCGGCCTGGGAATGTTACGTACCTGCTGGTCTCCACACACCTTATTGCTTCTCCCTTTGAACTCTTGCTTCCACTGCTCTCATCGCTTCGGGCATCTTTTTCTTTCCACCTCCAGCCCCCAACACATTGGCCAGACACAGTCTATACGCCTGAGTCCGTTTGGGGATTCAAGGAAGGCTTCCAGGAGGAAACAATATCTGAATTGAATGTGCCTGTGTCTGACTCCCTTACCACCCAGTAAACAGGCGCCTCACTTTAGACTTCAAGTCTGACACTGTTTTCACGAGGTCCCCTCCCACTAGGCTAGATTCTAGAACAAAACAGCATGCAGATGCTATGTCTGAACATAGTGACCTAGTTGGTGCCCAAGAAATAGACTCAACTATTTTAAACTGAGGCTGCTTCATTCCTCTCCTGCTCTATTTTCTGATAATAAGGTTTGGTGTCTCTTTCTCAGGGCAACCATTTCAACTTGTTCAAGGTTTGGGATGAAAAAACTGAGGCCACAGCAGCTCCTAACATCTAAATGCTTTTCATTCTTTTGCTTCATTTTGGAAGAGGCAAGAGTTTGGCTTAGAATCCTTGCTTGAACTCAGTGATTTTTGGGCATTTACATCAGTGCAGTACTTCTGAGTCCAGTCAGATTATTATTCCCAGGCTGGTTAGATACTAGTTTATACCTGATTCTGGGCTTCCCTTGTGGCTCAGCTGGTAAAGAATCTGCCTACAGTGCGGGAGACCTGGGTTCAATCCCTTAGTTGGGAAGATCCCCTGGAGAAGGGAAAGGTTGCCCACTCCAGTATTCTGGCTTGGAGAATTCTGGACTGGATAGTCCATGGGGTTGCAAAGAGTCAGACACGACTGAGCAACTTTCACTTTCACTTTCTCTACTTGATTCTAGAACAGGCAAAGATATACTAGAAGAATTAGTAGTTGTAAAAATTCTATAGAAAAAAAGTTTTAATTGAGACATTTTGTGTTCTAATTAATTTTTGTCATTGTTTCAAACTGAGAAAGATAACCATTAGCCAATTTTGCTAGTTCTTGTCATAAGACACCATGTTGTATTGTTATTCATCATTCAATCACTCAGTTGTATTCAACTCTTTATGATCCCATGGACTGCAACACGCCAGGCTTCCCTGTCCTTCTATCTCCGAGTTTGCTCAAAGTCCATTGACTCAATGTCCATTGAGTCTGTGATGCCATCTGACCATCTCACCCTCAGTCACCCCCTTCTCCTCCTACCCAAGTGTTCTATAGAAGTGACATTTAAAGCCCACTTAAACAAAATTAGAGCTAAATTCAATACCTATCACTAATACATTTTTATTTAATAAAAAGGAACAAAAATTTTCATTTCAACTAATGTTATTTGCTTCCTAAAATTGCCCCACGAACCTATCTTGATTACTGAAGAAAGTAACCATTAACCATCTTTATCCTCCTTAGGCTGTGAGGTTGAGATTCTTGGCGTCAGACCAACTTACTGCCTCGAGTATAAATCTGTCCCAACGGATGCCAATTTTGTCAATGCAGTCAACGGTGCTCTTGACGTCTTCAAGTGAGTGTCCCAAATTCTTAGCCGTGCCAGTGTTCTTCCTTGTTTCCAGGACCAATAAAGAATGCTCAAGTGGATTAAGAACCCTTTGGGATAGGTGGCCCAATGTTTCAGAGAGGTGGTGAGCCTTTCCCGTGGTGATTGCTACCAGCTAGTGTGAGAAATTTTAGGTAGGGGTGGTCTTTGGAAACACTGAATTGACAGCAAGGAAGTCTCCAGGTATTTGGGACGTTCTTTGTGTTGATGGATAGTAGAGAAGCAATGTGAATGTCAGTATTTCTCTAATCATGATATAGTGAATGCTTGGCTCTCAGAAGACATCAACAAGTTTTTGGCAAAAAAAAAGGGAAAATCTGTGGTGGAAAAATGTTTGGAGAAACTGCCTACTCTGCCATCTTCTTTGGAAACATACAAAGCCTATTGGCATATTAGTACATAAAAGTTTTTTTCTTCTTCCCCATGCAACTTATCATCACACCCAGTTTGAAAAACAGAAGTCAGTAGAGCTCTCCTGAATAGCAGATTAGAGTCGGGGAAACTGACTTAACTTCTAAGTCTTGAATTTTTTTAATAGTCAACAACTTCAACTATCCCTTTAAACTGCCTCCATTTCTCTCTGCCTAATTCCTTCTTTACAATCCACTTCAGTAAGGAAAATGGATGTGACATCCTGCACTTTTTTACATTGCAAAGAGATCTGGACAGAATCCTAAGGTGATAGGAGATCTGGGTGTCCCTGAAAGCCCAGGGCCGGGGGCCCCTCATAGCTCTCAGGTAACTGGGCTCATGGCCACATGTCCTTCTGGCATGGTTCCTGGGCTGGAGGCTATAAAGGGCCAGAAACAGATCTGTAGGCGTTCCTATCTGCCGCTCCTCGCCCGGCCCCTCCGTTACAAATGAGCTGACCTGTGATGGAGACCAGACCCATGTGGAAAACAGCTGGCCACCAAGAATTTGTCAGCTAAGCTCCAAACAGGCAAGCGCGCTCAGCCCTTGAAGACTCCGGTCCCTCATGAATCAACGTGCTCCCACATAGACGTCTTTCACAAAAGGCATGCGTATAAATCCCCAAATCGCAAGCATCGTAGCTCCAGTGTTCCTGGCATCTGGGGTTGACAGCTTCCTGACAGAAAGCCATCAGGTAAACCTGTGAGACTTGTTAGCTTTCCGACCACATGGAGATTTATGAATATGCCAAACAGCCTTAAAGAAGCTAGGCCAGTGGCTGCTGAATTAAGGTGCAGTGTCTAAAACCTAGTGACCTGAAAGCATTTCATTGAACTTCAGTGCAACCAGTCGACATTGTGAAATTCTCCGCACGTCCAAGCCCCACCCTGGAGGTGTGCATGGTAGACATAGGAGGCACTGTGAGGACCAGCATGTCTGGGATGCTCCAGGCTCAAGTACATAAGGCAGCTAAACGCGGAGGCACGTCTGAGGGCATGATTTTGTGGAAAGTTCCTTTATGTTCAAACATGGTGGAGGAAATGCCATCAGCCCATCAGTGTAATGAACATGGGCCTCAAAAAAGTTTACGGAGAGATATGAAAATGCCATTCCCGAGTAAGAATTTTTCCCACTGCCTACATTACGGGGACCCTCCGTGATGTTTTGTTCTCTGCTGTCTGTAAAGGCAGGGGGATTTGTTATTAGTCATCCACATGTTAGCGAGTAAGAATGATGATAATTTTATTTGTGAGAAACAACCAAATAATAACTTAACACAGTTCCCACCATGGAGGAAGGACCGATGCTGAAGCTGAAACTCCAATATTTTGGCCACGGGATGTGAAGAGCCAACTCATTGGAAAAGACCCTGATGCTAAGAAAATTGAGGGCAGGAGGGGAAGGGGGCGAGAGAGGATGGGAAGGTTAGAGGGCATCACCAACTCAATGGACAGGAGTTTGAGCAAACTTTAGGAAATAGTGTAGGACAGGGAAGCCTGGTGTGCTGCTGTCCGTGGGGTCACAGAGTTGGACCTGACTTAGCAACTGAACAACAACATCGTGGAGGAGAGAGGACATGGTATTTGTTAAAGAGGGACCAGTCTGTTTTGTTCTAAAAAGAGAAAATCATGCTTGACTGGCAATTTCCCTTACCTTGAAACCCGTGTATCCTCCGAACCATGAATGAAGCACACCTCTGGGTATGAGAACATCACAGTTTCGTTAAAGGGTGTGCCCTCTTGGTGATTATGACCGTGGAGAAGGAAGACGCTGGGCTGAACCTGCTCTGGACTCCATCCCTGTGCAGTGAAAGGCGTCGGTGTGGACATTCGAAAGCCTGGGCTGTGGAGCAACATGTCCTGACCTTGCACGTGGAAGGTTCACAGTCTCCAGTCCTAACCACGACTCCCCCTGGAGAAGAGATAGGCTCCCCTCTTCAGTATTCTTGGGATTCCCTCGTGGCTCAGACTCAGAGTCCACCTGCAGTGCGGGAGACCCAGGTTCAATCCCTGGGTTGGGAAGGTCCCCTGGAGGAGGGTGTGGCATCCCATTCAGCACTCTTGCCTAGGGAATCCCCATGGACAGAGGAGCCTGGTGGGCTACAGTCCACGCAGTCACAGAAAATCAGACACGACTGAGCGACCGAGCAGCCATGACTCAGGTCTGTGCGGCCCTGAGTAACTCCTCGCATCCTTTCTGGCCTGTTTCCTCACCTGCAAAGTCTGCCAAAGCCATTCTCTGGGGACACTCTTCACCACAGACCCAGAGTCTGGTGGCATATCCAACAGAGCTCACGCCGGGAAATGAGAGCGACTGCTGTCTTCGCCACACCTCACACCCGGCTTTCTTGGGAATGGTGGGACCCGATAGCCGAATGAGAACCATTTCCACAGGTCAGTTGGGCTAAGCAGAATGTTCCCCTATTGGTGCGGGCTGCTGAGTCCTTTCAGGGTGTTGGGTCAAGCTGTCGAGTCAGCCCCACCGGGGTCTCAGTGCTGGCTCCTCTTCTCATGAGCTGAGTGATGTGGACAACCATCTTGAACTCTCTGTTTTCGGTAATCGTACCTGATAGGGTTGCTGTAAGGATGAATTCCGATAATGCATAAAAAGCCCTCAACTTAGTGCCTGACTTAAGCACTTGGAGCTTCCCCCCATGCCTCAGCCATAAAAAAAAATCCACCTGCAATGCGGGAGATGCAGGAGGCACAGGTTCGATCCCTGGGTTGGGAAGATCCACTGGAGGAGGACATGGCAACCCACTCCAGTTTTCTTGCCTGGAGAATCCCACGGACAGAGGAGCCTGGCGGGCTACAGTCCGTGAGGTCACAAAGAGTCAGACACAACTGAATTGATCTAGCATGCACGCACACACTGAGCACTTACTATTATTATACCGCCTACCAACAGTTACAGAGCTCCTACCAGATCCTAGACTGAGCTGAGATACGATGGCGCGTGAATGCACCCCAGGGCGAAAGAACCCTGTGATTTAGAGGGGAGAAGGATACATAAATGGGCGATTAGAGTACAGTGAAGAATCACGATCTGGAGATGAACCAGGAATGCAGCAGGAGCACCCGGGGGGGCCACCCAGCTGAGCCTGGGCGTGCGGACGTGCTCCTGGAGGGGGCAGCATCTCCCTGAGACCTGAAGGACAGGCGGGGGCGTTCGTTCCTGCAACCACGCTCTTGAACTACTCTGGGGTTCTTTTTCCTCTGCTGTAGATCGCAAGGCCCAAGGCGCTGCCGGCATTAAGGACGTGCTCCTGGAGGGGGCAGCATCTCCCTGAGACCTGAAGGACAGGCGGGGGCGTTCGTTCCTGCAACCACGCTCTTGAACTACTCTGGGGTTCTTTTTCCTCTGCTGTAGATCGCAAGGCCCAAGGCGCTGCCGGCGTTAAGGACACACGTTCTCTCATTCTAAGGGTCGGGGAGACCAGACCCAGAGAGACCTTGCCGCCTCCCTTGTGTGTTTAAATAAGAGTTTTTCGAGATAAATGAGGCAGTCTGCCAAGAGTATTTGTTATTAATCCTTGTAAAGTCCAAGCAAAGGCGTTAGCCTTCATTCCTTTTCCATTGCTTCCTCTTTCATCAGTTGCTCTTACCACTACACTCATCATCACCAGCATCCTCACCAGTGTAGTTCTGTTGCCCTGCTTTGGGGGAGTTTGGGCGGGGCGCAGTCACGGTGGGAAGCCCCCAACTGTGCAGGGCAGGGAGGGCACATGGCCCCGGGTTTTCTCTCCTCCCAGACTCCCTCAGCCTCCTGCTCCAGTTCATCTCTCCAGTTCCCACTCGGTCTCAACCCTGTGTGGAGGCTTAAATAGCTGGGTTTGTACCACCAGTACTCTGGCCCCGAGCGGGCATTTAGCCAGAACCGAGTCTTCCTGGGAGGCAGCAAGTGTGGTCAGTGCTAGAATTCACTCTGTGTCCACCCTGGAGCTGAGCCGTCCTGGGTGCCCGGGGAACAAGCGTGCTGGGGGGTGTCTGCAGATGTCAAGCCTTGAACACAAACCTGTCTGCCTCCCACAAGGTGGCCTGGTAAAGTTTGCTCTTACTCTTGCTGGTCAGCTACACCTACAGCTCAGGGTTTCCTTTAGAGGCTTCCCCGAAGGCCAGCAGTAATGGGACAGCCATTACTTGAGTGACCATCGCTCCGCTTTTCTCTGATCTTCCGATGGCACCCGGCAGGGAGGAGGCCTTTCAGAACTGTCCCCTGCCTGTGGCCACCTCATCCGACTCCTGGGTCCTGATGAGCTGAGAGGGGAGGTGACACAGAAGCACGTCCTGTGGCTTTCGTCGCCATGGCGCTCAGGACTGGCAGGCCTAGATGCACTCGTCCTGTCTCTCCCTCGGAGAACCCGCTTGCTTGTTTTAGGGTGTCAGCTGTGCTCGGCCTACAGGCCCGCCCCCACCGGGGCCGCAGGTCGGGAGGAGAGAAGGCTGGGGGGGGCTTCTCTCAGCCGCACCTCTCTCGCTGCCCCCCAGGAGTGGCCAGGCGGACCTGGCGGCCATCTACTATGAGCGCATCGACGTGGAAGGCCACCATCACGGGCCCTGGTCGCCACAGAGGAAAGACGCCGTGAAGGCCGTGGACACCGTGATGGCGGACATGACCAAGTGGATCCAGGTGACCGGAAACCCGGCCCCCTGGGCTAGCCTCCCCTCTGTCCGTCTCCTCTGTCCCCTGGGCTGGCCCAGCCCTCCACATTGCCTTTCTTGCTCTGAGAGCTGACTGGGCCAGCTCGAGGGTCTGCAGGTACGGGGGTGGGGGTAGCTTCTCTTTTCTTCATACAGTGAATCACTCAGTCGTGTCCGACTCTTTGCGACCCCATGGACTATTCCGTCCCTGGAACTCTCCAGGCCAGAATACTGGAATGGGTCGCTGTTCCCTTCTCCAGGGGATCTTCCCAACCCAGGGATGGAACCCAGGTCTCCTGCATTGCAGGCGGATTCTTCACCAGCTGAGCCCCCAGGGAAGCCCTTTCTTCATACAGCATCTCCCCAAACACGCAAGATCCCCTGTGAGCAGCCGGGCCAGTGGTGCTGAAGTGACCTGATCTGCACGGCCTCCGGGCTCAGCGGGCCGATGCTTTACCCCAAGGCTAAAGTATGGTCATCAGGTCGCCGGGAACATCAAAACCAGGCCTGGGTTCTGTCCCCGATCCTGCCACACCCTTCGTGAATGACTTTAATCACAGGATTATTTCTTAATTTTATTTTTTTATGGCAGTATAGTTGATTTGCAATGTGCTAATTTCAGGCGTATGGCAAAGCGATTCAGTTACACACACACACGTATATGTATATGGTTCTTTTTCATTATAGGCTATTACAGGTATTGAATAGAGTCCCTTGTACTTTTACAGTATTCCCAGGTGGCCCAGTGGTAAAGAATACATCTGCCAAACAGGAGCNACATGTACACACCGCTATACTTTAAATGGATAACCAACAAGGACCTACTGTAAAGCACAGGTAACTCTGCTCAATGTCATGTGGCAGCCTGGATGGTGTGGGCTTGGGGGAGAGTGGACACGTATATATGTATGGCTGAGTCCCTTCATTGTTCACCCGAAACTATCACAACATTGTTAATTGGCTCTACCCCAATACAAAATGTTTTTGGTGTGAAAAAAAATTAAAAATTAAAAAAAAAGAGAAAGTATCTCTTTGCAAAACAGCTGGTGTTAAGAGGGTCCTTCTGTGGACACCGTCCTGACCACCTCTCCTGCCCCCCACCCCAAGGAACGGGAGCTGCAGGACGACCTTAACGTCATCATCTTCTCAGATCACGGGATGACTGATATTTCATGGATAGACAAAGTGATTGAGCTGGATAACTACATCAACCTCCATGATCTGCAGCAGGTGAAGGGGCGAGGGCCGATTATGAGCCTGTGGCCAGCCCCTGGGAAGCATTCGGAGGTACGAAGGGTGGGTCAGGTACGAAGGCCAGGTCGCGGGGGCGGGGGTGTCCGTGCTGGGTCTTTGTCGTTTCAAGGTGGAAACGCAGGGCGACCTCGGGGGATCAGGACTCTGGAGACAGATGACCCACCCGGCCCCTCCCTCGCTGGGTGACCTCTGTCCGGCGGTTCATCCTCCCGTGTCTTCTCTTGTCTGAGATGAGCTCGGAACGGTAGTGGCTCTGAAGCGAGACTAAGGATGTGCAGTGCTCAGCTTGCCAAGGGCTCAGCCCCGAACAGGGCTGCTTTCTTCTTGGCCGACTTGCAGCACATGACAGGCACGGCTGGGCACAGTGGATGCCCGCCCAGGGTGCTCTTCTCTGGAAGAAAGCGGCCAGTCCGGCCTGTTCTCATCAGGGCCCCAGGAGGAGAAGGTGACCAGTGATCCCGGGGCGAGGCTGCAGGTGCCATAGGTCAGCCAGGGATGGGGATCCAACCCTCAGCCACTGAGCGGCTCCCTGACCAGCCCTGCTGCTGCGTTTCCTGCCTGGGAGCTGGCGGCATCGTCGCCGCCCTCCTGGGTGGCTCTGAAGCACGGAGAAGCTTGCTGGGCCCATGGCAGGGGCTGTGGACAGTCACCAAGGACAGTGATCACCCCTGGAGAGTGCCGTTCCCAAGAGGATGTGGCAGTCCTTGCCCCCCGGGAACTGGGCACCTGGGATGGTGAGACCCCCACTCACCCCTCCCTCCAAACAATACTTCCATCTGAGTGGCTGGCACACCACGCTGAGAAGCTAAAGGAGCAAGTGGCACCTCTGGCTGACCGCTTGGCCCCATGTGGCTTGATCGTCTCCCAGTGCAGGCCCTGGGGCTTCCGCCCGCTCCCAGAGAGAACTGCCATCTTTCTCCGGGGGTCCCACCCACAGGGAGCCAGGAATGGGCCTCAGCTGGGCCTGGTGCCTCCACCCGTCCTCACCCCAGTGACGTGGTTGGTGTTGATGGAGCGCTGGTGCAGGCTGCGGAGGAGGGGTGTCCTCCTTTTTGGCCCAGAGAGACACCCTCCTCTCAACCCTGCCTGCTCCCTCCCACTTAAGAGTCTGAGATCTGTCTGTGTGGGGTTGAGGAACATGGTGCCCACATAGTCATTCCCCCTAGCCTCATCCCTTCCCCACACAGATGCCCCCTTTTTCTCAAGCTCCGTGGTCAGCAAGTTCAGGTGCTCAACATGTGTACTCAGCGTTCCCATGAACTCCGTAAGTGTGAAACTGGGAAGAATACTTTCCACGCTGGCAGCTCCCGCAGTCAATGGCTTCCTGCAAAGGAGTTCTGTTTCGCAGGCATGGCACCCCATCTGTGTCTTCAGCTTGGCACCTGGGCCCCAGGATGCCAGAGCATCAGCGGCTCGCTAGCTGGGGAGTTTCTTGCTTCCAATGTGGTGTGTAATGTGGTCAGGCAGGTGCAAGCTGCCTAAAGCAGTTGGTGGATTATTCAGGAGCAGGGACTGTGTTTGGTTGACAGCTCGTCACATGATGGACGCAAGAGTTTGTGAGACCCACTGCGTGCCATCAGAGTTTCCACTTAACTAAAATCTTTCTGGGGATGCACCCTCCTTTCCTTAAGAATTGCAGGTTTTCTAATATAGGAAATTATAACTCCCAGGGCCATTAGAAACTCTCTACCAAGCAGCCTAAAGACTCATTATTTTCCAGAGTTGAGTGGATAAACTCAATTTTCTATTCAGGTCTACCCAGGAATGAATGTCTGATTTGGCTAAGTATCAGCCAGTTGATTTTAATTTTAGCCATACAGATTTAAGCTGCTGTTAAATACTGAAAATACATACAGGGTTTATGCCTTCATCAGATCAGCAGTGTAATTAATGGCAAACAGTTACTAGTATTTTTCTTTTTTGGCCATGTGGCATGTGGGATCCTAGTTCCCCGATCAGGGTTCGAACTCTAGCGCCCCCAACTTTGGAAGCATGGACCCCTAACTACTGGACTGCCAGGGACGTCCCTACTAGTTCTTTTAGAATCAGGTGTAGGTAGGACATGCTCTAGGTCTAGTCAAAGAATAAATGCATTTCTTTGGTCTTGGGGGTATTTAACGCCAGGCAGACCAATTTCTCATTCGTATTTTCATTTTTCTATAGTATTTTTGACATAAGTAAGTTTTTATAAGAGGATCCTCTCCACCAGGTCCAATATATGGTCACGTGTACGTAAGAAAGAGAATGCAAACCTGGTCCTTCTTGGTTCTCTTTACAGATATATAACAAACTGAGGCGAGTGGAGCATATGACTGTCTACGAGAAGGAAGACATTCCAAGCAGGTTCCATTACAAGAAAGGGAAGTTTGTCTCCCCTCTGACCCTAGTGGCTGACGAAGGATGGTTCATAACTGAGGTAAACAAAAAACACACGGCAAGACATCCATGATACAAATTCTATCAAACAGCCAAATGTAAATAATTACTCACCTTTTCCACTTGAAAAATGTTTGTTCTTACCCGAGTCTCTCATTGGCTGCGTTATTTCCTTCTTGAGACAATTGAAAGGCTTGGTCAGATGACTGCAGATGCAAACGGGAGGCTCCAACCCAGAGCCAAGGTTTAGACTTCGTGGCTCCAGACTTGTATTTTAACAAATGGGCCTTAACTCAATTACCAAGGCTTACAATGTAACCTATTCAGTGGAAAGTGGAACAATTACTGTGAACCAAAGCAATTGCTTTAGGGCATCGAACAGCCAGGGGAGGCTCCGCTTTGCTTTCACCTTAAACAGCAGTGATTGGCAAACAAAAGTCTGCCTGCAGACCCAGGTCTCAGGTTTGCCAACTTGATTTTACAGAGCTTCTCTTGCCTTTTGAGTCCAAACCCTGATTGCCTAATGCCCTAAAGACCTCAGCAGCTTTCTCCTTGTTTGCCCGGACACCGTGCTCACCCAGCTCTTGCATCAGCTTTGATACCTGGCCAGCTGGGAAAGCCCACCTCCCCACCCCCTTCCAGGGGAATCTGCGGTCCTGTGTATAGTCAGTTTCCAGACAGAGCCTGAGTCCTTGTCGGTATGAACTTGAAGCTGGGCTGCAAACTGATCAGACTGGAGAGTAAAAGAGAGTGGCCGATGTTGGCACATGAGGGTTGTTGTGGAGTTGAATTTGAGGTTGCGCATCCGTAGATGCAAACAATCGCAAATCAGAAATATTCAGGGGGGAAAAAAGAGTCCCAAAAGTTCCAAAAAGCAAAGCTTGAATTTGCTGAGTGTCGGCAACTATTTACATCACATTTCCATTATATTTATAGCTATTTATATCACATTGCATTGACTGCGGTATCATAAGTGATCTAGAGAGGATTTAAGAGACACAGGAGAATGTGTGTCCTTATATGCAAATGCTATGCCATTTTGTATAAGAGACTTCAGTGTCCATGGATTTTGGTACCCAACGGGGTCATGGAAACAGTCCCCTATGAACACTAAGGGACAATTATATCAGACCGAAGACGTATTTAATCTGCCAGAGCGAGGGCAGGTGGCCACCAGCAGAAATATTGATCAGGTAAATGAATGGACATTTAGGGACCCAGGTGTGGAAAATGGGGATTCCCTGATGTGAACTTTAGTTCGCAAAGATGGTTCTGAGCTTCCTAGCAGCCAACTTAAAGAGGAAAGTGCAATGAATATACAGTATATATTACTGTAACTCAAGGTGTATATAGCATAAAAACATAAATGTTTCTTTAGAAAATCACGGCGGTCCCTGGTCCCCTTAAGAGAAATTTAGATATCTTTTAGTCAGTCTTTTGTTGTACCTTAGTCTCCTAGACTGACTATCTTAATCATTTTACTATCTTCGAATTTACAGATTTTTATTTTCAAGATTCACATATGAAAATTATAATCTCTGATCCTTAGATTTAATAATCTAAGGATTTTAATTTCTAGTTAAAATGTATAATTTAATAATTCATAAATTATAATTTTAAAAGTTATAATTTCTAATTTTAATGGATAATTTCTGATACTTAGATTTAATATTGGGGTTTTACTCTATCTTCTGAAAAATCCTAAAAGGAGCACCCATTCTTTCCCTGCTTAGATTTTTTTTTTTCTTTTACGTCTCCCTGCTGTTTATTAAACTTACTTGACTACAGAGAATTGAAAACGTCGCTCTAGGCCCCTGTTGCTGCTCTGTGCCAAGACTATTAGTCTCCCCCATTCTTATTTGCAAAATTTCTCCCCACGTGGTGACAGAACCTGTGTTTGTTCTGTAACCTCCATACCAGTGCCCAGTGAGGGATCTCAGTTTGCATCTGCAGCGGGACAGTTTCTCAGCTTTAAAAGCAGCTGCTCTGAGTCTAGGTTTGGCTAGCAGAGGAGCCTTTTTTTTTCTTTCTGGCTTAAATATGAAAACAGCTGAGTCAGGACAAATTGCTGCTGGTTGGGGCCAATAAAACAGAATCCCATCTTTCCTTCCTTTTTCCCTACAACCGCTATCTCATAAACATGCAAGATTTGGTTTCCTTGGCAAAAATGCCCTTCCCATATAAACACCAACTTAAGTTCTGCAGGCTCTTAGGCAGCTGCTCCAACAGGAAGATGCCATGGAGCACTTTCTGTTTTTTATTTTTTTAAATGGTTGCTTGGAGAGCTGTCACTGAAAAAGATAAAGGCAGGGAAACAGATTGACTTTGTCACCTGGAATGGCACCATTATCCAGCATGACTGCTGACGTCATAAAAGCAAGGCCCACTGCCCAGTGGCTCCCACAGATTGTTTTTCGTCGTGAGAATTAATATACAGACTGGATTTCCAACTAGTGCCAGTACCTTCTCTGGCCTCCTCTCCTACAGGGGCAGGAAGCTGAGTGTGTTCATTTTCCCAGAAGACTAACCATGAAGCAGCAGGAAAAAAACAAAAACAAAAAACCCAGGTCACCTGCCTAGGTTAAGCCCCAGCCTGTCACACCTGCCAAGCTCCTTTCTTCAAGCATGGAAACAGGGCTTCCGAAATGGTGCCTCCACCCCTCTGTCCCCCTAAGACCTGGTCACCATCCTCTGTAAACCTCTTTGCATGTCCTTGTCAGGGGATAAGGGTCACTGAGGGCATGGTCCCTCAGTCGTGTCCGACCCTTTTAGACCCTTTGGACTGTACCCCACCAGGGTCCTCTGTCTATGGGGTTTTCCAGGCAGAAATACCGGAGTGAGCTGCCAGTTCCCTCCTCCAGGGGATCTTCCCGACCCTGGGATCGAACCCACATCTCCTGCGTCTCCTGCATTGCAGGCAGATTCTTCACCCTCTGAGCCACCGGGGTTGTCACAATGTCTAGGGTGGTCCAAACTCAGGAGGCAGGCCCAGTGATGCTTCCTCGGGTGGAAGCTCCTTGAGGGCAGGTCTGTGGCATCTTGACCAGAGTGTTCCTCTGTGGAACCTGGTACATGGCAGAGACTCAGTACATGTTTGTGGAATATGAAATTAAGAAATGAATTCATAAATAGAGACAGCTGGTTCTTGATTACTTGTTGTTATTGTTCAGTTGCTTGGTCCTGTCCGACTATTTGCAACCCCATGGACTGCAGCACGCCGGGTTTCTCTGTCCCTCATTACCTCCCATAGTTTGCTCAGACTCACGTCCATTGAGTCAATCATGCCATCCAACCATCTCATCCTGTGTCACCCCCTTATCCTCCTGCCCTCAATCTTTCCTAGCATCAAGATCTTTTTGACAGACTGTTTACTTTGTAGGCTAATAAATCAGTGACTAAGTACCCAGAAAGGAAAGCTAATTCAGGCCTCTCACCTGGACTAATTGTTAGTAGCCCTAGAAGAGATTTCAACAGAGAAAAGGTGTTGAGACCACCAGTGGCCATTGTCCTGGCCCAGCTAGCCCCCAGCTGGAGTCCAGGGGCGGGCGGACACCTCAGCTGCCCCCGGTCCCCACTCAGCTTCAGGGGCTGATTCCCACGGCCTCTCCTGGACAGTGTCCCCTCCTGACACCTCACCTCAGCTGTCCCCGGTCCCCACTCAGCTTCAGGGGCTGATTCCCACGGCCTCTCCTGGACAGTGTCCCCTCCTGACACCGCGCTCAGAAAGGCCGCCAAATGCGGCCAGAAGCTGGTGAAAGATCATGAGACTTTCACACAATGGAGCTTCATTGTGGATCCTCCGGACTCTCATCTGTGTGGAGAGAAATGCAGCAAATGCAGGCTTCAGATTCCAAAAAAAGGCCCGTATTGGTCTCCTGAGGAAAGATTCATTTCAAAAACCAGCAAAGGATATGAAATGCCAGGCTCAATTCTCAGGCCTGGGATTGAGTGGCAGTTAGGCCCGGGCCCAAAATACTTGGGGAAATCAAGACAAGCTGGAGAGCATGGCTCCTGAGTTTTAGTGGCAGCCGGAGCGGTTTCCTGCGGGCCCAGGGTGCCGGAGGTCCAGGATGCCTGTGTCGGGGGCTGGAAGCTGCTTGCCTTCTGGCGGAGACCAGGGTCATCACTGTAAGCCATCGGAGGGCACGTGATGCCCTCCTCACCCTCGGCGCACTTCAGCAAATATGATCTTGAGAGAAAAAAGAAAAGCAAGCTCATCCCCTGGGCACCCTGCTCCAGCTCTTCTCTCTTCTCTGAGGAATTCTGCTGCCTCTGGACCCTGCTGCTCCTGCTGTCTGGCATTTCGCAATTTCCAGAACGAAGTCGCATGTGGCAGTAGGCTTGGCAGGGTAAGACCAGGGTCTGGGGCCTAAGACATTAAATTCTGTTCTAGAAAGAGGTGGCCTTCTAAGACAGAGAAACAGTTGGTGGGACTTGTCTTCGCAGCAGTGTGTGGCAAACACACATCTGAGGATCTACGACCACCGCTGCCGGGGGCCCCCCAGGAAGCCTCTCTGGAGGAGGGTTTAAAATGGTGATGAGACACGGCGCTTTGTCACCTAGCTCGACTTTAACCCTGGCAGCAAAACCTCGGAGCCAGCCAAACCATGCTCCCTTCCGCAAAAGTCCTGACTGAGGCCTCTTCTGAGACATCACCGGGTGCCTTTTCCAGCCTGAGATGCTGTGAGCTTATTGCATTGAGGAGGGCAGGGGAAGCTCCTGTTACAACCCTGACCTGGGGGAATAAGTTCGATTTCATTTGTGTTAGGCCCGTCACACACCTCAGACAGGGGTTCACATTTTACTTACTGATTTTAATTGGACCTGATTTCACCTTTGTTCCCCAGCACCCTAGACAAGGGGTGAGAGGCCTCATCCAGAGAGAAGGAGGGGACACCCGGGTCCCTGACCCCACTTCTCAGCAGGAATTACCCTGTCAGGTGCTGATGTGAGGGATGGCGGTCAAGATGTGTAACCGTCAGTGAACCTGGTGCTGGCCAACGATCCTGGGAAAAGCCAGTCGGCTGCTTTGGAAAGCAGCCCGTGTGAGCGACTCCGAGACTGACTCTGCACCCACGGCAGCTGAAACACAGACTCAGCGTGGCAACCAGCGTAAGATGAAGCATTCCCAGGAAAGGACAGATAATCGTTGAACACAGCCCAGGACAAACGCCAGGTGAAAGACTCCCAGTGGTTATCAACCGGATGATGCATCCCAGCCACCCAGGGGATGACTATTAAATAGCCAGAGTCGCCGCTTTAACCCACCTGCAAATCCAAACACCCAAAGTGAGACTCGAGATAAGCTCAGGGTGCTGTGTGCACAGCCAGGCTTGGGATCCAGCAGTGTAGACAGTGTGTTTCCAGGGAAAGACAGGAGAGAAGGTCACTCGGGCAGAGCAGGGCCACGCAGACAAGGCCCCCACCAGCGTCTGTGGTCAGGGGACAGAACCCCCGGAGGATGGATTTCCACCTCCTCGGCCGTCAGAGGAGAAGTCGTTTTGGGGTGTGAGGCGAGAGCTGGTGTCCAGATGTTTTCCCAGACCTGGTGACCCTCCCGCCTCCTCAGGAATAATTTTCTCTGTGGCTTAGCTACTATTTTCTGATCTGCACCCAGGGGAAATTGAAAGGAGCCGATGAGAACAGCACGTGCTAATATAGTCTCCAAATGCAACAGCGCGAAGTGAGTAAATGCCGGACAGTTCACCAAAGCAAGTGACTGCAAGTCAGACAGACAGCAGTGACTGCAGACTGTCCAGGCCGCCCTCTGCTTCTCCCCGGCCTTCCATCACTCCTGTCACCCCGACCCTCCTTCCCAGTGCCACCCCCATTTCTGACTGTGCCCCCACCCTACCCCCGACAGCTCAGCTCAGCTCTAGAAAGGAATCCAAAAATGCTGAGTCAAAGAGATGGGTCCCGGCAAGTGCTGAACAAACTTCANGCACGCACGCTTTCATCTGGAGGGCCTGGGCACCTCCCCAGGATGTCGCTAGGTGGCGCTGTGTGGAGGTCCCTGGACCCGGAAGGTTCAGGAAGGATGGAGGCTCCTCAACCAGTAACCTGAGGACCCCCCAGCTTGCGGACGTGGTAGGTGTGGAGCGCCTCACCAGCAGGGTTGCACGTGTGAGGTATGCATTACACGGCTGCACGGGCCCGCACTGGTGTGATAATGTGTGTCTGTGGGGGCGGGGAGGGGATGGGACACACAGGACCAAGTGAATCAGTGAAAGCCACCAGGAAGGATAAGGGGAAAATTCATCAACTCGCCTTCTTGAGGTTCATTAAGTCATGTAATTAGATTATATCATGTAATCCACTCAGTCTGATTATGTCATGTAATCCGTTCAGTCACTTAGCCTCTCACATAACTAGCCAGGTTATTACTTTTTAAAATGAGTAAACATAGTTGTTTCAAAAAAAAAAATGCAAGAATAGTTGTTTCACCAGAGCAAATTGTCATGTTAGTAAAAATACCAGTGGCTTTACCTGCAATCATACAGATCTCCCGTCATCTTCAGGGCTGAGATGCCTCATTGCTGTATGTTTGCATGTGTAAGTTAGACTGGAATTTTCAAATTAGGCAGTCTTTGTCTCCCTTCCACCTGTCCCTCCCCCATGGGATATGTGTGTCCCATGGGGTTCATGATTAGTGACACCGCTAGTGACATGTCCTACCTAGTTCTTCGGGAATCACTGCCTTGTAGACTGGGGTGGGGAGGGGAGCAGTACGTGAAATTAGCAAACGAAGCTAAGCTGGCATGTGTTGTGAGCATGACCACAAAGAACAAAAGAGGGTATAAGCCAGAAATGCAATAAGTTAATAAATATACTCCCATGGAAAAATACAAGCTACAGCTGGAGAAGGAGGGATGAAAATTGAGGAAACAGAGAGTCAATGAAACAGTGCGATTTGGAAAGCAGTAATGCCAGGGAGCGATTTATGGGGTGAGACAGGATGAGCATGCAATGTGATATGACAGCTAAATAAGCAAAGGAGGGTTCAACCCTTCTGCACAAGCCCCGAGCACCTCACCCTGCAGCCAGTGGCATCTGGCGACCGCCCCTGGCTGTTTATCAAGCACCTACTGTGTGTCGGGCTTAGCACACAATCAGGTTATCCCTCAGAGTCTCTGAGGCAGGTGTTGCAACATCCAGCAAGGAAGCTGAAGCTTGGACAAGTTATGCAGCTTGCCCAGGATCACAGAGTTGGAAATCGACAAACTGGAATTGAACCCACATCCTATTCAAAATCTCATCTCCATACTGGCTGCCACTCTGAATGAAGAGGCACGGGACAGGCTACAGGAGCCCTGCAGTGACCTCTGGCTGTGGGGTCCTGGAAAGTATACCAAGACCAGGAGACTGACGCCCTGGCTTCCAAGCCCAGCCCTGCCTCCCAACAGTTGTGTGACTTTAAGAGTGTCACTTAACCTCTCTGTGCCAAAATGGGGGAAAAAAAAAAAAACATCCGCAGCAGGTATTGACGCCAGTGGATGTCGGGGGAGGCTCTTGGTGAACCATACGGCACACAAAACGGCATACATGTGCTGTTACAGGTCTTGCAAAAGTGTTAGTCCCTCTGTTGTGTCCATCTCTGCGACCCCACGGACTGTAGCCTGCCAGGCTCCTCTGTCCATGGGATTCTCCAGGCAAGAATACTGGAGTGGGTTGCCATTCCCTTCTCCAGGGGATCTTCCCGACCCAGGAATCAAACCCTGGTCTCCTGCATTGAAGGCAGATTCTTTATCGTCTGAGCTACCAGGGAAGCTGACCTGTAAATCCCTGGTCCTTGAACTGTGCTGCTTCCACGCATTCATCACGACCAGTCAGTTCTACCTCCTGCATTTGGAAAACTTGTCATATTAAACCCTGCTGAGCCAGAAGATGACAGACTATCAGGAATGAAGTCTCAGTCCGCCTCGAAGAGCCCGGTTTGTGTCCAGCTGGCTAGTCTCCTCGGGATTTGCAAAACCTCCTGTGAGCTTTGATGTCTCTCAAGTAAGCTACTATAGTCTAGGAAAATTTAGTTCTGAAGGAAAGAAGGGCAGCAACAGGTCTGGAAGCCATCCCGAATGAAGAATGGTCAAAGGACATGAAGATCCACAAGGCGTGGAGGAGAGGAACATGGGGCCATCTTCAAAGGCTAACTCAATGGAGAGGAGGAGGACTTCTGTGCTTGGAGTCGCTCCTCGGGGTGGAGCTGGACAAAGAGGACAGGGGTGGTCCTCCAGGGAGGGGCCCCTGGGGTAGTGCAGGCCTGCTGCCTCTGGGCTTCCGAGGCTGCACTAGAAAAACAAAGCGATTCCATTAGCCGCTGTGTTTGCCAGCGACATTTCTCCCACAGCAATCGGGTGTCCTACCATTTCAATTCAATTCTGACACCATCCCAGGTTAGAGCAGACCCATACTTTAAAGGCTCCGTGCCACAAGATGGCCCACACATCTGAATGCTTGTCCCAAGTCCCAGGTCCCCCGGCTGCCCACACTTGTGTCTGACTTGGCCATAAATCTGAGGGTTCTCACCACCCGCCTTCGGCTTTGATAATTCACTGAGATGAATTGCAGAACTCAGAAAGGCGCCACACTTAATATTGCAATCTTCTTATAAAGGATGCTACGCGGGGGCAGACAAATGGAAGAGATGCACAGGGCACAGTGTGGTGGCGAGGGGTGCAGAGAACCCAGGTCGGGTGCACCAGCCTCCCATCACTGTTCATTAATCCAGATGCCCCCCGGACCCTGCTGTTCCTGGGGGTTTACGTGGGGTCTCACTGGGTTGACCCAGGTAACAAAATCATTACCCACATGGTTGAACTCAGTCTTAGAGATCAGAGGATGAGGGCTGGAAGTTCTAATTCTCTCCTTGTGCGTTTGCTTCTTCTGGTGACCAGTCCCCCATCCTGAAGCTATCTAGCCCCTCAGCCCAAAGATCATCCCATCCCATTAGCATAAACTCAGGTATGGGAACTAAGGACTCATCACGAATAACAAAACACCCCCAGTACTCAGGAAATCCCAAGGATTTAGGTGCTCTGGGCCAGGGAACCTGGGACAAAGGCCAACTCTATTTTTTATTATACCACAGGTACACTTTCACATCCCTTCTGTTTCTGACACGCTATGTTTAGTGGCTCTGAAACTGATTATGAGGCACAGTTCAGCCCAGTGTAAGGAGAGACCTTCAGAACTAAGGCTCTTTGGCAATTTAACGGGCCACCCCCAAAGGTCCGAGCTACCTGGAGTGGGAAGTGATCCGGCTAAGGTCGGACGACGCTGGCTGAGACCCCTGAGCAGGAAAGCCCTGTGCTGGGTGGGTGGTAGTTTGAACCTGATGCTTGCTCACCCCCTGGCCTGGTCACAGGGTGATGTCAATGCTTTGTTGATTTCAGAATCGACAGTCGCTTCCATTCTGGATGAACAGCACCATCACCCGCAAGGCAGAAGGCTGGCAATGGGGCTGGCATGGATATGACAACGAGCTCAGAACCATGAGGGGCATCTTCCTGGCCTTCGGACCCGGTAGGCAAGATCTTAGTCATTCCTTCCCCTAGGCATCAGGGGCTGACGGTGCTCGGAAAGGCTGGATCGATTTCTTTACGGATCCTCTTTATGAGCAAAGCTGAGCAAAGCCAGCCGGTCTCCACGAAATGTCTTTGGCTGGCTTGCTTTCAAATGCTTCTTGGGTTTGGCAAACGTGGCCAAATACTTCTCCCTGTAAGTTTTAAATCTCAAGCCCAGTGAGGAAAATGTATTCCACATGTTTGTGATTCATTTTTTACTTAATTCATCAAAACATCCCTTCACAGTCATCTGACGTCCAGGGAAGCTTATCAGGCACCAGGTTGCTGACAGCCACAAGTCCCAAAGTCGACGTGCTCGCTTCACAGGGTCTGACATTTCCACACTTCCTCCCTGCCTAGAGCGGCCACCCCCGTGCGGGTCATCCAGTCCAGGGCCCACCAGAAGCTAGGATGTGCTCATGGCAGGCTAGGAAACGGTTTTGTGACTGACTCTGAGGATGAGCCAGAATGACTTTTGCAGTGTCTAGGATGAGAGCGAATTGACTTTGCCCTTTTGGACCTGATGTCTTCCTGGGTCTGAAAGAGAGGTGGGGCGGAGGGGGGCCCATTTGGTCATCTGCTTTAATTAATACAGCACTGTAAAATTCACATTTTGGAAAAGTTTATCAAGCGCTCTAACAATCATGCTACTACCTGTACACTCCCTTTAAAACAAGAGTGAAAAGCAGTCAGCCACCATCAAGAGTCAGCTGACCAGATCACGAGCTCTTCGTCTTCCTTCCTGCTGTCCACGCTCCTTATTAAACATAATAAGCTTACCCTGATATCCACAGTCCAAGTTCCTTTTTCTGGATGTTTTGATCAAAATGTTTCAGCTCACAAAAGCCCATGCTTTCCTATCAGGTGATAGGTTAGAGGTCACCCCTGGGAGCCCTGCCCTTCTCAACATACTGGACAGAGATGCTTGTGAGCCCTCCTTCATTCCATCCACCTCGGGTCACTCTCTCAACCACAAGAAAAACCTGCTGAGAGCTACAAGGCGTCAACTTCTGCCCCCGCCATAGGTGCCTCTGGGAGCCTGAGCCCAGGGAACACACGCGGGCCCACGTCATTGTCCACACATCATCCAAGTCCCCATGTCCTTAAGTAAGCAACAGAACCAGTAGCCACAAGCATTTCTAGGGCACAGCTGGGTTCACGACATTGGCCTCAGAGGATACTCCCGCATGATACTGTCAACCAGTAACAGCTACCTGTTAGCCAAGCCCCAGGTTAGATCTGCGGAGCTCAGAAGCCAACTCAGTTCAGGATTGGAGCCTTGAGGATGCTGTGAGGTCAACCGCTAGATCAGGGTGGAGACTTCCCAGGCCATGGCCTTTACACAGAGGAACATGAGACAGGGGTGCTTTCATTCAAAGGCATCACCTCCTCACTCCCCAAAAGAGAGGAATCAGATCATGAATGCAAAACAGTTGTCAGCTGGAGTGTTTATGAGTAAGCATTTTGGGCAGATTTTAAAACAGAAACGAATCTAGCCTCAAACCAAAATTTTAAACCAAGCACCCAGAGCTGCAACAGCTGAAATTCAGTGGGGAGCTTTTTGTCCATTAACAAAGGCCTCCATCATACGCTCCTTTAAAACTAAAAGCCCAAGTCTTTTATAGACAGAAAGATGACCCTAGATGAAAATGGACTGGGCTAATTGCAAAACTGTTTCCAGGCAGATACAGCCTCCCACAAACCATCATGTTTCTGGCTTCGCTTCTCATGCAAGATTGAACAGCTCTACACACTGACTGTTTATGCAGAAGAAAATTTAAGAGCGAGGTCTTTAATAACAATCTAGCTGCACTTTGAGATAAACGTACTGCCCTCCTGATTAATTGGAGGTGATTCTCACTTATACAGGATGCTGAGCATTGCTACGGCTGCCCAGATACAGCTTTAGAAGTCAGGAAGTCTGGTCCAGCTAAGTGAAAGGGAAATCATTCTGGAAGACAGGCTCTCTCTGGTTAATCCCAGTTCCTATTTGGAACAATCTAACCTTGCCCTAAGTCTGTAAGTCTTCCTTCTGTTTTGTAAGGAAGTTCATTTATAGAGTTTCCTTTTAGATTCCACCTATAAGGGATATCATACATTATTTCTAGGTGGCCTAGGGGCTCAGATGGTAAAGAATCTGCCTGCAATGCAGAAGATGCGAGTTTGATCCCTGGGTCGGGAAGATTCCTTGGAGGAGGGCATGACCCACGCCAGTATTCTTGCTTGGAGAATCCCATGGACAGAGGCGCGTGGAGGGCTACAGTCCATGAGGTCGCAAAGAACTGGACACAATGGAGTGACTAAGCACATATGATATTTCTCCTTTTCTGCCTGACTTACTTCACTCAGTATGACAATCCCTAAGTCCATCCACTAACTTCTTTTTTTGGTCAGAAGAGCTTGACCTCAATTTTTCTTGCCAAATGTTAAAGAAAGAGATGTCTGAAAGGCTGGGGATGGCTGGCATGGATTTGCTATTGACCTCCTCCTGCACTTGTGACAAGACATGGCCACCGCGTCATGTGTGTGGCAGGATGACCTCACATCCACAGCAAGTCAGGGAGATAGGTCTTCCATGTCACGGGACCACCTTGCCACTGACTCCTCAGCTGCGGTTGATTCTTCTCTGGGGAGGCGTAACCACCATCCGCAGCTAATTGTAGTGTTTTCCTTCATATGAGAAGGGCTGGCACTCCAGGCTCTACGTTCTCCTTCCCGGGGTGACTCTGGATTTGTTTGAAATTAGTGTTTACCCTGAGGCAGTGCAGATCCTTACCCTCCCTACCCTAAAAGTAAGTGGACATTTCACATAAGCTATGGGGTAAGTATTTTCAATGCGAAATTTCCCCTGCTGGGCACTTATTCTATTAATATCAACAGCTCCCATCTATTGAGCACAGACATGAGCCTGCAACTAGGATTTAGGCAGTATCTCTGTGCCCATCCCCTGAGGTTATCCAGCTGGTGAGTGGCTGCAGGCTGCTCTGTAAAGCCTGTGAACCTCTTTATATGGAATTCTACTTTTATACCTCAAAATGAGCAAAACCTATTACTTGAGATGTTGCTCTGGATCTAACATACTCTGTAGCAGAGTTCTCTCTGTTGCTCCTGTATTTGTAATTACAGGGTTAACGTAAGAGCGGCATTTGGTGTGGACACTTCTGGGTCACATCGCTGTCGCTATTAATGTTTGCTTTTTATATCAAGGATATGTGATCGTTTCAGCAAAGCAATTATAAAGGTTATTTTCTAAGTCAGAAAGTTGTCCTCACAGCCCCCAAACTACCTTTTAAAAAAGTTATGGAGGGACTGAAAGAGCACATGCCTGGGCCTTTATTGATGGATAAAGTAAAAGTCACTCAGTCAAGTCCAACTCTTTGTGACCCCATGGACTGTAGCCCACCAGGTTCCTCTGTCCATGGAATTCTCCAGGCAAGAATACTGGAGTGGGTTGCCATTTCCTTCTCCACGGGATCTTCTGGACCCAGGGATCGAACCCAGTTCTCCCACATTGCAGGCAGACTCTTTACCAACTGAGCCACCAGGGAAGCCACTATTGATGGATAAAAGTCCCTCCTAAACTCAACTTCAATAGTTTTGGGTATTTTGTTGGAAGCGCTGGCTTGGAACCTAAATGTGAAGTGGCTTATGAATATCACTAAAGTCTCGTATTCACTCTTTGTTGTTGTTCGGTCACTTAGTCTTGTCCGACTCTGCAACCCCATGGACTGTAGCTCACCCGGCTTCCCTGTCCTTCACTGTCTCCCAAAGTTTGCTCAAACTCATGTCTAATGGAAGCACACTTATGCACAAATCAGTTTGCTGTCTGATTTGTCTTTCAAAGAAACATGGCGCTAAGTGGTAAAGATCCCACCTGCAGATGCAGGAGACATAAGAGATGCAGGTTCAATCCCTGAGTTAGGAAGATTCCCCTGGAGAAGAAAATGGCAACTCACTCCAGTATTCTTGCCTGGAGAATCCCATGGACAGAGGAGTCTGGCTACAGTCCATGCAGTCTCAAAGAGCGGGACACACTAAAGCGACTTAGTGCACATTCACATCTCTGTAAACCATAAAAAGCGACTTCCTTTCACAACCTAGAACTTCCAGATCTCCTTCCAGGTTCACAATCCCTTGGCCAGGCTCCATGGACAAGGGGGATCTACCAGTCCTAGAGCTGCTGAAATGCCAAGTGTAACCCCTCCACTGCGTGACCCACCCCTCTCTGCCCTGCCCAGCCCAGGAGTGGCCTTGACCACTTGCTTCCTTGCCTTTTTCTTGCAGATTTCAAGTCCGACTTCAGAGCCGCTCCCATCAGAGTCGTGGATATCTACAACCTCATGTGCAGAGTGACAGGCATCACCCCTCTGCCCAACAACGGGTCCTGGTCCCGGGTGATGTGCATGCTGAAGGACCCGGCCAGCTCGGCCCTGGGTGCCCAGCCCAGCGCCTCTGCCCTGGTCACTGTCCTGGTGGTACTGCTGGTGATGCTGGCCTAGCTGCGTGTGCCATGTCCCCAACACTCAGCACAGTGGGTGAATTAACCACCTCCTTGATTCATGCAAGGCCATACAACTATTAATCTATTCTTGAATGATTCCATACACAAAAGTCCCTACTTCTTTAGAATTGTTTTTGTTTTTTCTAGAGGTAAGAAAAGTTCTAGCTTTTCATTTGTTCAGCTATAGGTTATTTTCTTTCTTTCTTTTTTTCTTTTTTTTGTACTCAGATGAATTGTCTGAACAGGGCCTCCCACTGTAGTGACCAGACCCCAGGTGGGTGTTCTATGGAGTCCTGGCCCCTCTGTTTTGCACAAAGTAGGCCCTGGTCTGAGGTCCGTCTACACCTGGGAGCCATCCTGCACAGCTCCTTCCATCGGGGGAAAAAGGAGGCTCATGTGAAAGCAGTAGCTGCTGTCTATTTCTGACCCAGCTCGTGGGGTTTCTTCACCTTATACAAAGTCTCAGAAATGGGCTTGGCTCGCCCATCAGTGAAACTCACTAAGAACTGCAGAATTCAGAGAACAAAATGAAAGATATGGGTTCCTTCCCCAAGTCTGGGTGCACAATATTTTCTCCCCGTGTTGAGGAGCAGAAGAATTTACCATAGATACGGGCTCCTACGAGCCTTCTCCTAGCGTATTCACGGTGTGAACACACACACGGCAGGAGCTGCATTGCCTGTCTGCCTATCTGCCTGTGGGAAGGCTGACTTAGAGGATCCTATATAGAATGTGAGTGCATGCTCAGTCACTTCAATCATGTCTGACTCTGTGCAACCCCACGGACTGGGGCCCCCAGGCTCCTCTGTCCATGGGATTCTCCAGGCAAGAATACTAGAGTGGGTTGCCATTTCCTACTCTAGGGAATCTTCCCAACCCAGGGATGAAACCCAGGTCTCCTACACCTTCTGCACTGGCACGTGGGTTTGTTACCGCTAGTGCCACGGTAAACTCCAGCAACGCTTGACATACCATCTATCATCACGGTTGGGGAAAGGGATGTCTGGCTGATGACAGTGTGGACATACTTGCAGAAATCTCACTCCATTGCTTGAAATGGTGATGTACTGGGTGTAAGTTTGATGCACCCTTGTCCCTGAGAGCAAGGTTTCTTTAACAGCCACAGCAAAGTGGACCCTTGAGTGACCCAGAATCCAAGAAAAATGGTGGAGCACAGGGAACAGAGTTAGCGTGATGCAGCTGAATCCCAGTCACTAACCACTCAGCCATTTGATGAGGTAACAGTTTGGGCAAAGTGACACCTCAGAGACCTTGGTTTTTAAGAAACCCCAAAGAAGAGGCTCTGAGCCTTGGCTGAAATGTTTTTAGTCTTGTAAGTCTGCTATAGGAGACCTTGTTGCAAAACAAGAGATACCTGCACTTCTGTATGATCAGAGTCATAGACATGTATCACTGCCTTAAAAACGAGTTTGTGCTAAATGAATCCCACCTGCAGATAAGACGTTTCATCAAGAAAAGACAACAGATCAGGTCTCGGCAGGACAATAAAGCCCCTTATGTGCTGTTTACCTTGAAAAATGAAAATCTACGCTCACCCTGATTCAAGAAGTCTGGGAGCCATCTCTAGACCTTGAATCATGAGAGCAAAGGATCACTGCTTAAAAATAGCACATTTATCTTCACAAAAGATTTCTAAGGTTTTATGTAATGTGTTTTTAAAGCGCTAGCAAACCATCAAGTCAATAGGAAAGGCAAATCAGCCTTTGTTATCTGTCTGAAAGCCCATTAGTGCTTTGGGAACATTGTGGTGGTTATTGAAACAACATCTATTGTTTGAAGTTTTCTTTCTCTGTAAAGGACTGTGTTCTAATGAATTTGGTGGAGCTCACTGTGCTCCCATGTGAAGAAAGGAGACCTAAAAGAAACCCACTGATTCAATTAAAAGTGGATTATCCAAGTCTAAAGGGGTACGAACAGATACACGGTCTTGAGTTTGTCCTTCCCACTCTGGTCTACCAATTTGTCCCGTCACTCATTCTTAAAATCTTCAAGTTACATAATCAAATTTCAGACATCTGCCTGGCAAGGTGTAGTTACTCTGTAAGTCGTTTTGAAGCTCCAGTACTTTGCACACCTGATACGAAGAGCCGACTCTTTAGAAAAGACCCTGATGCTGGGAAAGATTGAAGGAAGGAGAAGAAGGGGATGACAGACAATGAGATGGCTTGATGGCATCACTGACTCAACGGACATTAAGTTTGAGCAAACTCTGGGAGATGGTGAAGGACTGGGAAGCCTAGCATGCTGCAGTCCATGGGGTTGAGAAGAGTCGGACACAACTGAGCAACTGAACAGCAACAAAAATGAGAATAAGACACGTTTGGAATCATAAATATTGGTGAATAATAAGAAAATTCAGACACTGAGTGGAAGCAAAACCGTAAACCTAAAGCAACACATATGTTTTAGTGGCTCAACTGTTTAGCTAGAATTTTTTTCTTCTGATTTTTGTTCTAAGCTATGTTCTTTTCCCAAGGAAAATTCTACTTTCTCTAAATGCATTTTGTTCCATCAGAGTAACATTTGCTAGGACCATACACACAACTTTCCTCCTATTTTACCACTTCATTGCTAATTCCGGGAGGAAGGTCATTGGAGTGACCTGCAAATACCAAAGACAGATGAAAGAAGTGATCTTTAAGTTGAAGATAAGATGAGAGGCTACTGTCCCTTCCTGTATGCAGAATCACCAGAACCCAACTCAACTACGTTCTGAAGCCTTCAGCATCAATTAGAGCAGACCCAGGGAGTTCTTTTTCACCTCCAAGAGGCCTGACTTACAAAGTCCCAACTCTTTTTACTTTTAAAGGGCTCTTCAAAATCCACAGCAGATCTGAACTGTCATAGACAGCAGTTTGCAAACCTTCTGGGATTGCCAGCATCATTGGCCCTCTTCCGGAGATGCAGGTTCTGAGGACCTGGCATGGGGCCTTCAACAACACTTTTAAGTCACATGGATCTAAGGTCCAGGTTTGCCCTAACAAGTGGTGGGTTCTGATTTGACCTTGGTACACCTGAGTCTCCCACAGCAATTTCATGATCTGCCGGTCTCTTCAGCGGCCATCAGCCTGGCATTGGCTACTGATCCCAGCTGGGTCAGCTTCCCGCCCTTCTAAAACCAAAACAGACTTATAAGTCCCGGTGATGAAATGGCTTTTCAATATCCAATCCCCATGAGTTTAAGATCCTCAACGGTGCTATCAGACAAACTTGCTGTTCAAGACACACAGCTCTTTTATGAATTTTCTATGAAAGTGTTTTACATGTCTGTAAATTTCAAGAGATTTCCAAATGTGATTATGTGTTTAATCTTTGTAAGCAATTGGTGATAGACCAAAGTCAGCTCTTGTAAGCTACTTGTGAGGAGGAAGAAAGATGGTAGGCTTGACAGCCTAGTTATAAACCACAGGAAACTTGGTCTCAGGTCTGTGTGATGGAAGATATGCTTATGTGTTGCTTTGAAATCATAAAATTGCACCTAGTATTGTGTCTCACGTGTTTTGTAAATGTCCCATAAATGTGTTGAATCAAAAAAAGAATAAATAAAACTGAGGAGACTTGCTTACACAGCATATAGTCTTTCTCTTTGTCTGTACTTATTCAAACAAATCTTTCCTTTTTGGGTTGCAATCTTTTCTTATCACCCAAGTGACAATATAATTATACTTCATTTCATGGGCTAAGCATATTCCATCCCAAGCTTATAAACTTGACAGATTGGTAGAAGGAAGGAAGGAGATTAGATTTTGAATATACTAAGCATATTTACTTTTTAAAAAATGTGACAGTTTTATCAAGATTCAGTTCACATGCCTTATAACCCTTCCTTTTAAAGTATCAATTTAATGACATTAGTATGGTCACAGAGCTGTGCAACTATTCTACAATCAACTCTAGAACATTTTATCACCCCCAAAAGAAACTCCATATCCATGAGCGTGTTAGCACTCACCCCCCCCCCTTCCCCCCAACCCACCCCCAGGCAACCTCTAAACTATATCTCTACAGATTTGCCTCTTGGGGATATTTCAAGAAAATGGAATAGCCACGAACTCTGTGGCTGTCTGAGTCCAGGCTCTAGCCAATGTTACCGCTCAAATACACTCAGTCTCTCTCAGAGCATCTCTTTTTTTTTTTTAATGTCAATCATTTTTAAAGTCATTATTGGTTTGTTACAATATTGCTTCTACTTTATGTTTTGCTATTTTTGGCCATGAGGCATGTGAGATCTTAACTCCCTGACCAGGGATTGAACCCACACTCCCTGCACTGGAAGATGAAGTCTTAACAGTGAACCACCAGGGAAGTCCCTCCCGGAGCATCCTTATGGCATCGCCCCAGAAACCAGTAACAGCCCACGTGCCCCTTCTCACCAGCAGCCCAGCCAGGACGTCTGCGTATCACTGTGCGTCAGCTTCCTGACAGGTGTTCTTGAGATGCCGGAGGCTGGCTCTGGCTCGTTCTCCTCTCTTCCACTTGAGGGTCCTGCTCAAATGCTGACCATGCCGCTCCCCTGCCCGAACCCATCACTGACTGCCCTGCCACTCCACTACCGTCTTAATCTTAACTCCTGCAGCAGGCTTCCTGGGGCTGGCACCTGTGTGTCCTTTAACCTGATCTCGGGTCACTCTCCCCTTCACTCCATAAGCTCTTTTTGCCTTAGGGTATTTCCATCCTGTCACTTTCTCCTCCTTGATTAGTACCCCATCCTCACCTACTTAGCGCCCCTTCCCTGAGAACTCAGGCCAATGTTTCCTTACACTCCTCTGAACCAGATCAGGCCCCGCTGGCTGACACTCTTTACACCAGCCACATGCAACCCCACGCATCACAATACCAGTAGCTGGAAGAAGCAAGTAACAGTCCTCTCCTGGAGCCTTTAGAGGAAGCATGGCTTCTCAATTTCAGACTTCTCACTTCCAGATTCGTGAGAGGATACATTTCTGTGCTTTTAAGCCATCCAGTTTCTAGTCATCTATTTCAGCAACCACAGGATATTAATACACCTTTCAAACTGCTTTCAAAGTAGTCCATCTAGCTCATCAAAGATTTCTTGAGCTCCTCCTTCACACCAGGTACTGGACTACATTTTGGGGATGCATAGAGGAAAAACTATCTTTCCTGTTCTCACAGAATTTACAAGGTAGTCATTTCATTTCTTCCAATTTTTAAAAAATAATTTTATTTTTTATTGAAGTACAGCTGATTTACAATGTTCTGTTAGTTTCTGGTTAGATTTATATTCTTTTCCATTATGGTTTATTATAAGATATTGAATATAGTTCCCTGTGTCATTTCTTCCATTTTTGAGAGGAGTCAAATTCTCGTTTCTATAGAATGAAATGTTCTGGTTGCTATGGGTGATGCAAGGAGAGAATTTCACAGCAAACAGGAGTAACACAATGAAGAAGGAATCAGCTAACCACCCTTGTCTCTCACTCCTATGGAATTAAACTCCAAATTCTGCCTCCCATCCATTTCTATGGTTTAACATCCCTCTACATCTTGGATATTTCATGTCAAATTTCTCAGCTGAGGCCCCGGACGAACCATTGTCAACTCTCTTACCTTGGTCCCACGTCCAGGATGCTCCTTCCCACTCTCCGTCTAGCAAACTTTCATTTATCCTTCAGAGCCTTCTCTGTAAGGCTTTGGGGCTCTCACATTTTTTTCTTTTTTCATTTACTGCAGAGCAAATCACATTGCCTTGTAATAATCTGTTGTCAAGTGTTCTCCAACGAGGCTGTTAGCTAAGCAGAATGCTAGGATTGTATCTTCTCATTTTTTAAGTCACCAGACCACATCTGTAGCATCAGCAAAGTCTGCCCATACAACAGTTGATAACTGCCTGGTGAAATGAATGAATTATTGAAGGAAGGAGGGAAAGAAGGAAGGAAGGAATGGAAAAGCTTAGGACACTCTGGTCATAAAATGACCTAAATTTGGACAGAGCTTCTCACAGTAGTGATAAGTTGTAAAAGCCAGAGGCAGGAAATCTTTTGTAGAAAGTAGCATGATTTGACAAATGACTAATGTGTGACATGGAATCCAGGGGGCAGGGGTTTCTTTTTCAACATTTCAGCAGGCCCCCTCTTTAGCCATGAACACTAGGAAGTGCAGCAGATGGGAATAAGGAAGAAAAGATAAATGAGTCCTGTCTTCACCATGCTTAATTCGACTTTTCAACAAGATGCTAACACAAGCCTGCATTGTCATTTCCCTATGGCTTGAAAGAGACAGCGGAAGGTGGTTCAGAGCCCTGGATGCTCAAGTCCTAACATGTGGAGGAAGAGGAGGCGTTCCAGACACCTGCTCCCTTCCTCCCACACCTTCTGAGTCCCACCTACCTCTGCAGCTGGGAAATGAGGAGTGGGTGGTGGGAGGAGGTGAAGACCCCTGTTTTCTTCACACATCAACTACCAGATGCCTCGGTTTTCCTCCTGCCAGATGAAGACCATTTCATTTGTCATTTACTTTACAGAAGTGCCCTGAAGATTAACGAGATGTTTCTAAATACCCTGAAAGCCCCCGGGACTGTGGTTGTGTAAGCATCAGGTGGTGTACATGGCTCGCTCTGTTGGCACACACGAAAATGGAGGGAAGAAAGTTCAAAACGAGAGTTGGAGCCTTAAGAACACACCCCAGGGGTGTTTCTCGGTTGGCGTGGGTGTTATACAGGTCTCTGGATGCAGCTGGCTGGGAGCAAGGCGATGATGACGTGTAGGGCGGAAACTGACCAGCAGCCTTCCCAGCAGGCTCCGCGCGCCCGGGACGACTTGTGCGATGTGAGTTGTCGCGGGAAGTTGAACGAATCCCTGAACGAGTAGCGACCCGGAAGTTCGTAGAGAAATGCCATCCTAAGTTGTTTTAAGGTCTTTGGTTCTCAACTTCAGGGCGAATTAAAATCACTTGGTGATTTTAATAAGAGGCGGATTTCCACGCTTTACCTCTAGAAACCATCATGGTTTCCAGTTTGGTTTGGAGTTCATATTGGTTTGGAGTTCTGCCCAGGAATCTGAATTTAAGTAAGCTGATTCTTCTGCATCCCAACTTTTGAGAATCAAGGATCTAAATTTTACAGCCAGCTGGTGAACTAAGGCATGATTCTCTGAAGGCAGGAATAGACTGGGCCTCACTGAATTCTAACCCTTGTTCTAAATTATTTCAAAAAAATATTTATTTATTTGGCAGGCAGGATTTTCATTGTGGGAGCTAGTTCCTTGACCAGGGATTGAACTGGGTCTTAGCTACTAGATTACCAGGGAAGTCCCTAAATTCTGCTTCAGAATGGATCATGGAGGGGACAGGGGAGGCAGAATTTTCTGGGGGAGGGAGACTCCACACCATTACTAAGTACAGTCATTCATGTACCCAGAGCAGTAAATAAATGACTGAGGTTATATAGTTATTTGGAGCAGATAAATACTGTGTATTCAGGCTGTGTGATTGGATAGCCATTGGCCACATGTGGCTACTGAAAACTTAAAATGTGAAATTGAATTTAAGTCCAAATCAAGATTTAATATAAGTATGAAAAAAAAACAGATTTCACAGATTTAATGCAAAAAAAGAGAAAAAATTTACTTAGCATTTTTTCATTGATATATGTGGAAATAGTAATGTTTTAGAAATGCATTGTGAACTAAAATATGTTAAAATGAATTTCATTTGTTTCCTTTTTCTTTTGTTAATGAGGTACCAGAAATTTTAAATTTCTTCTATGACTCACATTATATTTTTCTTGGATAGTATTATTCTAGATCCGTATACTGTCTGGGTCTTAATTTATAGAAGTCCATGCTCTTGCCATATGCTTCTTCTGGATAATACTGGTGTGTCAAGAGCCTATTCTTCATTGTGATCTTAGCAAGGTGATTAAATTGTAAATGGCTCCTCAAGAGAGAAGAGAGAAGAAAAAAGCCTGACCCAGCTCATTGCTTAGTCCAAAAATGGCTGCCAGGCATGAATACCCCTGCAATATATAGTCAAGGGCATAAATGAATCACTGAAAAGACAATAAAAATGGCAGTGATGTCAAACCTGTTGACCACTCGTGTGCTATAGAGTAACTCTATCATCTAGGGTCCTGTTCCTACCTACCCTCGTGGGGAAGGGAAGAACAGGAGGGATGCAGTGATGGGTTGAAGGAGGTGGTACCCAGCTCTAGTGAGGGCAAGAGCAAATGAAGGCCATCTCACTTTCTCCCAGAGTGCACTTTGTTGTACCTGAAACAAGGCTATCCGGTCCTATCTGCAGTGACTTGAAAATACCGTTTTGAAGATTATTTCTTTAATTTATGTCATTACATTCTTATTCCGGTCCTCTTATCACTGGCCCAGATGCCAGTGAAAATATGATGAAAGCACGAACATAATTCTTTTTAAATGACAGAACAGGCAGGGAGAAATTCGTAGGTTATTTGGGAGCATGACAAATTTTACACCTAGAGGAAAGTGCAAGAAAAAGAGATTCTCACCTTGTTAACAAAACTGGAACTGAAAATAAAGATTTGATGTGTTCTGACTTCCTGGCTGCTCTGGGTGCTATGGCGCCTTAAAATTCTAAAAAGATTCTAACACTCTCACTGGCCTCCTCCTTTCTGGTGCGCTTGTTTGAGCTCCTCTTCCATCCTTGAGGTCTGGATGCTTGACAAGCTCTCTGCCTCAATCCCAAGATGCTGGGAAGAATCCATCCTTGTGGCTTCAATCATGGCGATTTCACCAGGTGACCGACATTGTAGCTTCTTTATGCACAGGCAAGAGCTGTGACTGGTGACCAGAGAAACCCCCCCAAACAACAACAAAAAACCCAAACTCAACTTTTCCAAAGGCAAAATTCATGGCATCTTGTCAGGCCTTTGCTTCAGGTGTGAACTCATTTACTCAGTAGAAGGAACTGAATCAGACTAGAAATTAGGTTAAATCATAAAGAGGGAAATGGGGCTTCCCTGGTAGCTCAGCTGATAAAGAATCTGCCTGCAATGCAGGAGAACCCAGTTTGATTCCTGGGTCGGGAAGTTCCCCTGAAGAAGGGATAGGCTACCCACTCCAGTATTCTTGGGTTTCCCTGCTGGCTCAGACAATAAAAGAATCCACCTGCGATGCAGGAAACCTGGGCTTGATGGCTGGGCTGGGAAGATCCCCTGGTGGAGGGCCTGACAGTCCACTCCAGTATTCTTGCCTGGAGAAGCCCATGGACAGAGGAGCCTGGTGGGCTACACTCTGTGAGCTTGCAGAGTCAGACACGACCTAGCGACTAAGCACTGAAGAGGGGATTGGCACTTCCCTTTGTTCTAATCAGCTGTGTCTTGAGACAGCATTCAGCAGGACCGGGGCATCTTCGTCTGCTTGCACGAGTTACACTAAATTGATTTGCGTATCAGTCCAGTTGCGGCAGCAATCAATGTACAAGGGATGTCACACACGTGCTTCGCCTTCACATTCTCTGCGTGGCAGAGTGATTCCTCAGACATACAGCTCGCAGAGGTCAAAGAGTCTCTCGATTCCACCTTTTTTGTTTTTACTTATGGTGGATTTTCTGACAGGAAATGGGAATTTGGTTGATAATTACCAGGCGTAGAGATAAGGTTTCCTCATTAAAGTCTCATAAAACCATGAAAATAAATCATTGCCAGTGGAGAGAGAAAGAAAATCTTCTGTTTAGACTTTTCCATGACCGTTTAGGCCAATTCTTTTTCCCCTTTCAGCCCGGTGACTTTATATCCAGCTAGCGTAGGGCTTGATAATCAGAGGAAAGAATGTAGAGGCCTCTCAGACCTTTTCTGATTTCAAGTTAATGGCTTGGTATGTCAAGGACAGGCCGAGCCTGGCAGAATAAATTATGAAAGTGCAGCTGAAGAAACACAGTGGAGGAAACCCACATCATACACATCTGCAGATACGATACAGACATAAATAAATCCTACCATTTCAGGGAAATCGAAGGGGTCCGTTTGGCCTGCCCTGGAGATCAAAGCTGGTAGGAGTCATGGAGTGGCTGACAGTCCCAAAGGCGACTCCCCTAGAAATGGGATCAGCCCGCCCTTTCCTGGTTCCCTCTCTTCCATCCTAGAGGTCTGGATGCTTGACAAGCTCTCTGCCTCAATCCCAAGATGCTGGGAAGAATCCATCCTGGTGGCTTGAATCATGGCGATTTCACCAGGTGACCGACATTGTAGCTTCTTTATGCACAGGCAAGAGCTGTGACTGGTGACCAGAGAAACCCCCCCAAACAAGAACAACAAAAAACCCAAACTCAACTTTTCCAAAGGCAAAATTCATAGCATCTTGTCAGGCCTTTGCTTCAGGTGTGAACTCATTTACTCAGTAGAAGGAACTGAACCAGACTAGAAATTAGGTTAAATCATAAAGAGGGAAATGGGGCTTCCCTGGTAGCTCAGCTGATAAAGAATCTGCCTGCAATGCAGGAGAACCCAGTTTGATTCCTGGGTCGGGAAGTTCCCCTGAAGAAGGG